ATATATATATATATAGCATATATATAGCATATATATATATATTATTTTTTTTTTTTTTTTTTTTTGAACGTTCAGAGGACCTGACTTCACTTTTTTAGATTTTTCTACCTGGTTTATTGAGCATGCATCAGGATATTAGTGTTCTTAACAGGATCTGGTTATTATAGACACAGATTAAATGTTCAGTATTAATATTTCTATATTTATCACCACAGTAATAGTGTTACACACATTAGTAGTTGTAAACACTCAAAATAATACACGTTGACTTGGTGCTTACCTTTTAACCTAAATATTTTAGGAGTAAACATTTTTAATAATCACTTTAAAAGTTACAAATGTTGTCTTTGGTGCCTGTTTGTTTTCCAAATGTATTAGTGTGTGAGAATGACAGGCGTTAACATAAAACACTTTGTACAACAGTGCTTTATAAAGTTCAGTGCATTTCCTTTATTAGATGACCGGCAGTTCTGCCACATCCAATATGGCGGCCATTCTTACATACTGCCGCAACTGGTCCCCCCACTCAACGAGGCGTCCACTAAAACTGGCTCACCAGTTCTCTGTTGTGAACGCCCTGGCAGAGATGACAATGTGATGCCAATCAGTGATGGAGAAAGGTCAGGGGAGTTTTGAACCAATAATGATGAACGATTGTTTGAAATGTGTTTAATAAGTTAACTCAAAAAACGCTAATCTGACTCCAAATCCGCCCAAATTATCCCCACTCGCCCAAAGCAATTTTTACCTGCAAAATCAGAATGAAAACCGCCCAATCTGGCAACACTGGTCAGTGCAGTGTCAGCCCTGTATAATGGGGGGAGGGCCCCACCCTCCTTGACACTGACAGGCTTATTCCAGCCAATCCTGCCTGGTGTAATGATGAGGTCACCTTCTGATGAGGTGACGCTGAGGGCGTGTTGGACACACAACGAATGCTATGAAAGAGAACGTACGTTTATCACAACTGATACCGTCATTGTAACATTAATAATATGACGCACCACAGGTTTTCTAATCTGCAGCAGCAGGTAGTCTGTGGTTTTACTAATATTCCACAGCTGACGAGGATTAATCTTGTTAATTTGTATTTTTTTCTTCTAAGAATCAGTTTTTCTCTAAAGCATTTTTCATGTAGCACCTGATTTCTCAGAGAAGTCTTTATTTTTAACTTACTTCTGGATACCTTCCCATTTTAATGTTGTTAAAATGTGACTCTGGTTGTTTGTGATTTTCACACCTTAATTTATTCTTCACAACCCTGCTGTAAATTAATTATTTTTGGTAAGTTCGAGCGGTGTTGAAGGATTAGCAGTTGTTGGAGGTTATTCTTACATTTTTAGTGAATTACGAGCGAGGAATTGATCTTTATCACTTATAATTCTGCAGAAAGACAAAGCTTTCTCTGCTCTTTGTTTTAGTTTCCACAGGTGCAGGACCTGCGCCACTCAAACCTGTCCTCCCCCCTCAGCCTTGCAACCAGTCTGTTGTTGGACCTCCGCAGGTCACCCCACCCATTAACCCCACCCACCCGTATCAGGTAATGGGCAAGCAGCCACCAGCGAGCGGCTCCCTGGAGGCTTCTGCCGTCTGCTTCTGGCTCTAGATAAGAACGTTGTCTTCATGTTCCCTCTGCAAAACGTTCACCCCCACTCCGTCTTCTTTTAATCCGCTTCCTGACAGAATACACCGCCCATGAGCGCTGCTCTGGTGGCTGCACAAATGGCTGTGGAGGCAGCCAACAACCAGAAGAATCGCTGTAAGTTAACTCTAGATTTTAGGCTTTTGGGAGCAGCTTGTTTTCGCTGAGCGTATCGTAGGATTTTTCTGTTTGTTTACGCCGCGTGGGCATTTCTTGGATTAATTCTCTGTTTTTGAAAACACCTTGCAGAGACGCAATTAACGTTCGCCCCCAACACTTTTGAACTTTTCTTTTTTTGTATTGTTTGCTTTTGTTGACCTCCCTCCAGTCCCAGGGATGGTCAATCAGGGGCCTCCATTTTCAACTCAGTCCACCATCCCTCCAGTCTCCGTGATGAAGCCCCCTCAGCCCAACATATCAACAGTTACCACAGCATCACAGCCGCCAATGATGCAACAGCAAGTTCCTCCCAATCCTCAGCAGCCCGTCCCACCCCCGGGCCAGCCATCGTCTAACCAGCCGACACAGCCACAACCTCCACAACCTTCACCAAATCAGCCCACAGCACCTTCAGCACTGCCCAACATAGTAAGTCCCTTCAACGAGGTTCAAATAAAAAGTTCACGCCATCGAGTGACGTTACTGGTAAGAAACGCTGACCCAGAAAGGCTAATGACACAATTGTCCTTACAGGTGACTTTGGCCACTTATAAATCTCATTACTCCTAAAGTTTTCAGTAGGTTTGCACTCTACAGACTCTAAGTGTGCTGTAAAAACTGTCAACTTAATCAACTCTGTTTATTTATAAAGCACCGATTCACAACAAGTCATCTCAGGGTGGTCTAAAACATTCACATTCAATATAAAAGCCAATTAGTAAAAGTTATCATTCATTCATTCATTCAACCTTTATTTATACAGGTTAATCCCTTTGAGCCTCGGGGACTCATTTGATTTCTTTAACAAAGAGTGATGACAAGAGTGATGACAACAGTGAGTAACAACGACAACAATAGACAATCACCAAAGACGCATACAATATTTAAATTTCTTTAAAATAAAATAAAAATCTGAACAATAGCAACCATAAGAACAGTCAAAAGGAAAAGTAGTGAAAAGAAAAACCATCTAGATTTATAAGGCGGTGTAGAAAACTCAAAACGGGAACACGTCTGCGTTGGTTCTTGCCAGGAACTTAACAGATGTTTGAAGCCACTTGGAGAGGTCAAGGTCGAGAGCTTCAGATCGTTTTGCAAGATGTTCCAGGAAACGGGAGCCGAGTAGGAGAAGGTCCTTTTTCCAAGTTCAGTTCTCACTGAGGGGACACTGCAGGTAATAATGTCCTGAGAGCAGAGACATGTAGGAGGAGATGTATGAAGGCAGCAGACCAAGAAGTGATTTAAAGATGAAAATGTATCAGTGGGAGAGTCTGTGTGAGGTTAATGATGACCAGTTAACCAGTGAATACTGGGTGCAGTGGTGGTACGGTAGTTACAGTTATAAATCACCGTGATAGACAGCATCCAACATCTGCAGGGTGCTTGTAGGAACGTTCATATAGATAATGTCACCGTAGTCCATGGAGGGAAGGAAAGACACAGTTACAAGGCGTTTCCTAGCATTCAGAGTTAGACAGGATCTGTTTCTGAAAAAGAAACCCAGTTTAACTTCCAGTTTCTTTACTAGGTTTTCCACGTGGAGCTTAAAAGAGATGCGAGTCGACCAAGATACCCAAATATTTATAGGAATCAACAAACTCAATCTCTCTCTTAGGAAACCAGCAGGTTGTGTTGAATCTTTGTGTCGTTTCAATCGCCCGTCCTGAACAGCACATTGGCGACAGTGGGAAGGAATGACTCTCTTTCAAGCGGAAGAAATCTCCTTTCAAGAAATAATAATAGTCGGCTAAAAGATTCTGAGTTTCCTCTCCTTCAACCAGGTGAGAACGGGGAAATGCTCCAGTCTCCCCACCAGCCGTCAAAGGCGGTGAATACTTTTGCATTACACTAAAAATGTTTTAGTTTCGGATGTTCAGTTCTGCAGGGGACAGCTCAGGGAGCGAACAAAAGATCTGGCAACTGTTTTACGCTGGATGCCCTTCCTGACGCAACCAGATCACAAACCAGATCACAAACCTCAACTTGGAACCCACGATATACAAAATACTTTAACGAAAAATATAAAACAACATTACGCTGAACTATCGCAAGTGATGCAGGTTGAGGGAGATTACTCCACTAGAAGCCTGTCACAATAACAAATTCTGCTGGGCGATTAATTGTCTCCGAAATTATTGCGGTAAACGATAATATTGTTTGAAATTTGACGATAATTAGTAATTATCGTCAAATTTAAGAAGAAATATAATTTGTTTTGCGTGTAGTACCCTTTTTCGACCACCAGATGGCAGTATAAGACTGAACCGAAGGATGGATAGTGAGGGAGTGAGCAGTGTGTCTCTTTAATAAAAATGGGAGGGAGGTCCCTTGACGTGACGTGGGCTGTCTCTCTGTGGTTCTCAAAATGGCGGACGCTCATTGTGGCTTGAGCTTTTTTAGCATAGCATTTTTCACACAAAGCTTTTAATAAAAAATCAGTAAACAAGTTCTCAGCTTCTTTTTGCAGTCAGTGAAGAGCACCCGAGTTGAGTTTTTTGTCATCCCGTGTCTTCAGTACTGAGAGATACGAAGAAACGATAAAGCCGAAAGTGAGGTTGATAATTTTCATTTATCGTGCGATCAATTGATTTATTGTTTATCATGACAGGCTGATCCACTAGTTTTCTAGATCTGATATGTAGTTCTAAGCTATGGGTCCACACCCAACGTAAACAAAGCTCTGGGATGAATCCACAAAAAAACCCGAAGTTTGAGCTGCATGATTGGTCTTCATGAGGCCGGCCTTAGTCTGCAGTCAACAAATACGACATTTCTGATAAGTGTAGAGTATCGGAGAAGACGTTTAGGTGTAAATATGAAAGTGAGTCAGCTGCTAAACATAAAAGAAAAGACGAATAACTAGTAATAAATAACGAGGTCAGTCAGGTGGGCGGAGCTCCACATTAAAACTCAGCTTTTGCTCTTTGACCTGTTTTCAGTCACTTCGGCTGTTTGTGTAGGCGGTTGTTGTTATCCCATTATACATTTTTGCCTAGAAATGTTAATTTAAGGACACTTATCATTGTGATACAAAATACTGAGTGGATTTAGTTTCTAACTTCATGCGTTTGTTGTCTAGTTCGTGACTTTTTAACGAGTTCCTTTAAGATAAATTTGTGTAGTTAGCTGCCTTCAAACCAAAATAAACTGACAAGTCAGAAAAAAACATTCCACCTGAAACCAGCGGCACATGACCGCGTTAGGGGGTTTAATGCTCCTGTGGAGCTGAACTGGTTTGTTCAGGGAGAAACTTCGCAGGAGTAAAACTTGTAATGCGGATGATTATTTTTAAACACATAGAGCTGCAGAACTGAAATGCCTCCGTTTGGTTTGTTTTAATTAACAAACTGGAACAACAGCAAACTAACGAGGTCGTCTCTTTGCAACAATTTGTTGCAGCTGCTTTTATTTTTATTTTTACCTGCTCTCTCAGCAGGTCTCCCAGGAACTAAGATGATTTGTTTCTAAGTATAACCTCACTGCTTAAATAAAAGACAAATGAAAAGAAAAACAGAATTGTATTTTGTTTTATAAAGGGGAAAGGAAACAGGAGTTTAATTTTTGGTGCTGCAGCGTTAAACTGCGCTTGCAAGCGAACGCTGAAGTCTAATAGAATGAATTTTAAATGCGAGCTCTGCTGTCTCATCAAAACCTGACAATGTTCCTGTTTCTTCAGGAGATCCTGGTTTATTTAAATAAATCAAAGAAGAAATATTGAACTTTATTTTACTTTTATCCGCTCTGCAGAACGGTATCTTTTATTACTGTTTTATTATGTTCTCTTGAATTGAAAAGTGCATTTTTCTACTAGTTTACGGTTCAGTTGCAGACGAAACGTACAGTTTTCTGTTGTTGTAATCTTTAATTCTCTCTGCAGCTCGGGGTCTCTGGAGCTGCAGCCGGTGCCAATTTAATCGTACAACCTCAAGCAAACAAGGTCGTGGCGTGGACGGGCGTTTTGGAGTGGCAGGAGGTAAAGCAAAAAAAAACATGTTGCCATCACAGAAACTTTGGGGACTGATTTAGTTCTTCACACCGAGCATGAAGGGATTGTCCAATAAAAGAAACATTTTGTGAAATACACGTTTAGGCCTTTTTGTTTGGATTCAGCTTAATATTTACCATTTATACACGAGCTTCGGCTTTTTATTTCACCCATAACGGTTAAAAAGCTATAAAAAGTCATTTTCTGTGAGGATTCAGTGTGAATGTGCTGAAGAGGCTAAAACGAAGTTGTTAAAGCTAATATAAGCAAAACATTAGCTGAAAGCTAAAAGGAGCAAAATACTAGCTAAAATTAAGAGGGGGGAAATGGTAGCTAAATGTTGCAAACGGCTAGTTAAAAAAAACTAGCTATGAGTAGCAGCAACAGGTTAGCTCAAAGCTAAGAGCAACAAAAGGCTAGGTAGAAGCTAAAAACAGTTGATAGCTAGAGAACAGTTGAATATAGCAAAAGACTAAGTGACCTGAGCATCTTAGGAATGAATTTTTCAGTCTTTCTCCCTCCTTTGATGACATTAATCTGACCTCCAGCTCAATGTTAAAAATCTTGGTGTTGTTTTCGATCAGGACATGTCTTTAAAAACGTTACTAGAACCGCCTCCTTCCACCTGCGTCACTAAAATTAGAAACATCTAAAAACGATTTTAAAAAAAACTGGTTTATGCATTTGTCACGACTAGACTGGACTATTGCAACTGTTTATTATCTGGGTGTCCAAATACTTCTTTAAAACGTCTTCAGTTGATCCAAAATGCTGCGGCCAGAGTCTTAACTGGAGTTAGTGGGAGAGATGATATCTCTCCAGCTTTAGCTTCTCTCCATTGGCTCCCTGTCAAATTCAAAACTGAATTCAAAATCTTACTTCCAACCTACAAAGCCCTCAACAACCTAGCTCCTTCTTGTATATTTGAGATTTTATTGTTCAATATTTTCCTAATGGAGCACTTCGCTCTCAGACTGCAGGTTTACTCGTGGTCCCTAGAGTTTCCAAAAGCACAATGGGAGGAAGATCTTTCAGTTCTCAGGCTCCTCTCTTGTGGAACCAACTTCCAGTTTCTGTCCGTGAGGCTGACACGTTGTCCAGTTTTAAGTCTTTCCTTTTTGATAAATCCTATAGTTAGGGTCGGCTTGTCATGCCGCCTTAAGCTTAGACTACTAGAGGACAAAATGGACCTCATTTCTTTAAATGAGTTGCTAAAATTGAATAGTTTTCATTTGATACTGTTTCTATCTTAACATGTGATTCTGGACCTGCCATTGTGTATCTGTTCCTCTCAAACCCAGCCAGTCGAAGCAGGTGACCGCTTGTCCTGAGCCTGCAGGCTAAGCGAAAGCTAAAAGCAGTTAATAGCTAGAGAACAGTTGAATATAGCCAAATGCTAAGTGAAAGCTCAAAGTAGAAAAAATGACCACTAAAACCCAAATGTAGAGAAAAGGTTAGCTAAAAGCTAAAGGTATCAAAAGGCTAGCTGAAAGTGTAAAGTAGCTGAACAGTAGCTAGAAAGCTAACTAAAAGCTTAAAGTAGCATTAGAAGATAAAACTAAAGCCAGAGTGCTGAAGCAGATTTGAAAGAGAACAAAGATTTTTGTTTGAAGGAATTAAATAAATCTTGGAGGGTTTGTTTCTATGGGAAGAATATTTGTTTAAAGTTTAATATTTTGTAATGTACAAAAGATAAAAAAAAAAAACAAGTCATGGCCCCCATCTCCTGAACAAGCTAAACATGTTAACTGGCTAAAAAGGCACAAAGTGTGCAGAAGTGATGAGCTTGTAATAATTAAAAAACACGTAAACAGTGGAGTGAACGCCGACTGAGCTCCCACAGTCCAAATGTTTCCGCAGATGTTTTTATAAACTGCCCTTTAGTCTCAGCTTCTCATCACGTTGGGTTAGATTAAAACAAAAGAGCTGCAGTTGATAAAAATCTAATTTAATCATCAACGCTGCGCAGGATCCATCATAGGATTAGTCCCAATAAGCACCTGTTATTGATTACGTTACTGTATGATTAACGGCACATCATTTACTGTCCCACTTTCTTGGCTTTGGCTCCAGCTCAGATCGATCCCATCCAGCTGCACGGCTGAACCAAGAAATTTAACGTCGACAGCTTTTATGTCTCGTGAGGACTCCGTGTTTGTGTGGCCGGGGCCCGGATCAATCGGCCCGATCGACTCTTGTCTCGTCCCCCCTCGTCTGTTTTTGTCTGAATTATTGAAGTCCGTTAAATGAATAGGAATAAGAACGAGAAGCTACAAAAATCTAAATCTATTAAAGATCAAGGAAAGTCGTCAATGTTGCGGGTCAGATTAGGAGCATGAAACGTTGCTCTTCATCTGCTGGCTGCTGCGACGGTTAACCCGTCAGGCTTTCTGCTCCTGAATCGATTGTTTGTTGGAGGATTTTGTGTCGTCGTGGAGAATTAGACGGCGGAAACTTAAACTGGCTTGAAGAAAACGTTTTGCTCTGATGAGGGAAGCCGGCGCTCCTGGTTGGGACAGAATACACCGTCATCAGCACGGAGTGATCACAGAACGCTTTATTTGTGTAAAATGTGGGGAAGCTTCTCGTTGACACATCCTGATGCATGCTCAAAAATCCAGGTACAAAGATCTAACAAAGTTATGTCAGATCCTCTGGACGGATTCTTCTTGTTGAAACGTTCCGTCTTTAATCCAGAAGACTTCTTCAGTCTGAGGAGCTGCACTAAACCCAGTGCTTAACTAAACCAAAACTTAACTAAACCACTACATCAAATTTCAGAAAATTGCTCTAAAAATGGCTGCGTTATCGTATTTTTTTTTTCCTTTTTTAGCTAAGGTGGCCATCTTGGATTTTTAATTTGGCTTCAGTAATGTGATGGGGAACATACTCGGCTATACCCTCACAAAACTTCAGCTCTATATGTTTAAAAATGGCCGAGTTAAAGCCGTTTAAAAGTAGCGTTGGTGGCCATCTAGGATTTTTCATTTTGATGCCACATTTGATGGGAAATGTTCTCAGCTATCAAAACAAATGTCAGCTCAATATGACAAAAATTGGCTGAACTGTAGTGTTTTTCCTTTTTTGCTCAGGCAGCCATCTTGGATTTTTGATTTTCAGTCAGTCAGGGCTCATTCTCAGCTACCAATACGCCAAATTTCAGCTGAATGGCTCTAAAAATGGCCGAGTTATTGTATTTTTTTCTCTTTTAGCTAAGGCGGCCATCTTGGATATTTGATTTGCATTAGGAATGTATCACGGGGGCCGAGATGGTGTCGAGGCAGGGCAGCCGGCTCGGGACCTGAAAGTCCCAGGTTCGATCCCTCACTGCATACCTCGTGGTGTCTCTGGGCAGCACACCTTATCCCCAAAATCTGCAGATGATTGTTTTGTTACTCCCTACATCTCTGCCCGGTGTCGCGCTTCAGCAAGCACTTAAAATAAATTACCCATCCGTCTTCAGCCCAATAAATCTGCACCGATCTGTACAATAGACCCGACTAATGTGTGATTGATTGATCATTTATCCAGTATTGATCCTCTGAAGATGAGCGCTGGCAGTTTCCCTGATGAGGGTTTTGGTAATTGCTTGTCCTGATTGGGGTCACTGACAACAGATTGAGCAGGTGGGTCACGTGCCTCCTTCGGCCGTGCTCTTCGGTTGTACCGAGGCGTTCCTCGAAGTCTTAAAGTAGAGCGACGACCGCTCTTCGCCTGAAAGCTTAGTCTTCCTGTGACCAGAGGGCGATACTGGGAGGCAGAGTTCCTGCTTGGCCTGCTGCGTTTGTTCTTTGTTTAATAAGAAGTAGGATCTTATGATGTCATCACATGGCGGCCCGCAGGCCAGATCCAGCCTGCAGGGGTCTGACTTCTGGCCAGTGAAGGGTGGGGTTGGGTGGCAGCACCAACCCACAGCTGACTGTAGGGGAAATCAATGGGCTCTTTCATAAAACTGTTCTGCAAAATGGCTTCAAAGACCAGTTTAACTTAAACACTTAAACTTAGCAGCAGGTTCTGATTTAAGGCGGTTAATGAATGTTTTTATTAATGTTTCTGAAACGTATGAAGAATGTTCTTTTGTCCTATTTCTGGTAAAACCGTTTTCCTGTTGGAATCTCGTTATTCTTGGTTTTCCAACGATAGGCTACGACTTGCTGCCCTGGAACGAGCAGAGCTTTTTATTTTTCCTGTGGTTTTATGTGTTTTTACAAGTCCTGCTCTGTTGACCGTGCCTCATCGGTTCCCTCTCCGTTAATATGATTTGTTTTGCTTGTTTTTCTTCGTGTTTTTGTCTATTTGCTCCGCAGAAACCTAAAGCTTCGTCCATGGATTCAACCAAGCTAACTCGGTCTCTGCCTTGTCAAGTGCACGTCAACCAGGGAGAGAATCTGTGAGTCGCTAAAACAACCGATTAAATCATTTGTTGTTTTGACCACATCACATGTTCTTGGCTTGTAGTTAGAAATGCAGGAGTCATTCTGTAGCTCGTTAAAAGCTGCAGGAGTCACTAAATATTATTTTCTTAAATTAAAACTCAGAGTGAATTGAGGTTTATTTATTTATTTTTAATTTTAGCTTCTGTTTTTGACGATGTTTAGTCAAGTTCTGCTCAGTTTCCTGAACAGACTAGTTTCCTCTTTTGTCGTGTTGGTCAGATTTGTTTGTGGCATCTCTCTGACGCTTCTTGTGTCCTCTTGTATCCACCTTCTTCCTGGCCCCCATGCTGCCTTGCATGAATTATGGGCACAACTTCCGGCGTGGACCAGAACCAGCGTTTGTTTCTGTGCGAACAGTACGAGCTAATGTAGCTTCTCCGAGCATTGTAGATTTAATTTAAACGTGATGTAGGAACACCACCTGTCAGAGCTCTAACAGGATAATATAATCATACCGCTGCCTGCTGAGGACGAGGGATGGACGACGAGCTGAAGAAGTGGCTGCAGATTACATCTACTAGCATATTTAGCTACATCTGCTAGCATATTTATATACATCTACTAGCATATTTAGCTG